TGCAAATAGCCCGCCTTGTTGGCAGAGGTTATTTACACTAGTTCCACCCACAAATGTGTGATAGGGATGATCAACACTATAAAAGATAGCCAACAATCGTCAGCTTCAGTGGCGTAGATGGTATAGCGCGTACCTTAGTATTTTTGGCGCGATCGACCCTGGTTCGAATCCGCCTTTTACCAAACTTTTTTTCTCCCTTTTTAAATCTCATATCACATCGGAAAGGCATTTATTTTCAATAAAAATTAAGGAAATAATCAAAAAGTTGAAAATAAAGTATCGGGTAGGGTTAGGATAGGTGTAGGGAGGGCTTTATTGTCCCAATAAGGTGGCATCCATTTAATAATTTGATAATATTAAAATGATAATTTACACTCAATACGTTATTACTGCATACTGTTTTATAATGTACTATAATACTGAGGTGCAGATAATTGCCACTATTTGCAATAAGCAGTATAAACAGCAGAAAATCCTGCTATTTTAAAATAGTGTAAATAGAATATATCGCTATCTGCACTTAGTGTAAATAGCATATTGTTAAAAATACTATTTTCACTTAGTGTAAATAGAATCCATTGCTATTTGCACTTAGTGTAAATAGCCTCTATTGCTATTTACACTTAGTGCAAATAGCCGCTGCCTTCTTTTATTTCTTCTGATGTTCATTCAAGTTTATTTCTTGGTAAAACAAATAGTAAAGGACTGGTTCACAGCTCACATTTACTTGAATTGATTCGGCTACAACAATGTGTCACACTAAGAAAAGTGTCAAAACAGCATTTATAGTTTGAATTTCCAGATAAAATTTACAAAATTTGAAAGCTAAGAGTTTCAGATCAAAGGCAAGAAAGCACAAAGCTTTTTGCAATTACTGGATGGCTGGCCCACTACAAATAATGCTTAGTGATGTTTTGTTTATGCATCAGCAGAAGACTAAAACAGTATTAGTAAAACAGAAGACTAGTAAAGTATTGGTAAACAGATTACTAAAACTAATACAAAAGTATTAGTAAAACAGAAGACTAAAACAGTATTAGGTAACAGTATTGACTCTTAAATTCCAACATCGATCAAAGACAAAGATCGATGTTGGAATTTAAGGATCAATACTGGTTTGTCAAAATGAAATTAAAATCGATTCATCAATCTTATGACCACAGCCCTATATTCGATTTGATGTTGATGTGAGTGGTATCCTTAAGTAAACTTAAGTGAACTTAAGTGTTGTTAGCTCAGGTAAGTACTTTGGGGTTACACACAAGTTATTGCTATTGATTGCTGACTGACTACTGCAATTGATTTATAATTTGCTAAAATTATATCTGGCTTAACGGCAAAGATATTAGATGGCTTCTCTATCACCCCCTTGAGTATGGAGGTTACCGCCACAGTAACAGAAAATGTATGCATGAAGGGACTACAAACGTCCAATGTGTTGGCCAAGCATTTGCATCTGCGTTGGTGTACCTGTAGCCTTAAGTTACCACATGTCTTAAAATGACATTAGAAATTCAAGAAAAAAACAACAAATTCTGCAGCTTGCTGTGCAAAGATCTGAAGAAGAGTAGGTAGAGTACAAACCCTGGGCAGAGGGGCTGACGTTGCTCAGGGCGATGGTGCAGGTAAAGAGGATCCAGAGAGAGAGAGCCATGCTGTGGATGAGCAAGGGGTGGTGGGGGGGAGTGTGGGTCAGCGGGCGCTTGAATGCAGGGCACTCCTTCCCTCGCCCTCTCACTGAAGGAGAACCTGGTGAGAAGAGAACGAGAGAGACAAATGAGAAAGAGAGATCAATACTAATAGCAGGACCTAAATTCTTACTGTCCGTCTTTCCCTTCTGTGGCTCAATAAAAAAAAAGCAGTACTGCCCTGTAATTCTATTCAATCTGTTAAAGTGAGACGCTCACTACTGCTCCAACCAGATCTGTGCTTTCTGTCTCTGCACGGCCCATTTCATGTTGCACTTATTCAACATAATTGAGAGGAGCTCTAGGCGCACACTTGGCACCGGTCAGGTGGAGTTAGATGACTAGAGCTGAAGGGCAGCCATTTTGTTCTCGCGCTAACACGGCAACAGCTGTTCCCTGTCCAACACAACTATTCTGTGATGCTGTTTGCCAGTAATTTAGTAGATACCAAGTAAACAAAAACAAAACATATGCTGTTATATGGATTCTAATGAATTGATCAGACAGGCCAGAAATATGAAAACGATTCAAGCTATGCAATTTGTTACTTTCCAAAATGTGTCCAGACTACTAGAGTAACTGAGTCCTCTTTTAAGATCAATTTTCTCTATTAGGTCAACTTTTGTCACAGTGGAGCAATTGTTTGCAGAGAATCTGGGTAAAATAGAAAAGCAGTACTGCTTTGTAATTCTGTCCAATCTGTCAAAGCAAGACGCCCAATGTTGCTCCGACAAGATCCATGTTTTCCGGCTCTATACAGTCCAATTTACATTATAATTGAGAGAAGCTCTAGGCGCAAACTGGGGAAAAATCAGGTAGATGGCTAGAGCTGAATGCCGGCCATTTTGTTCTAGCGCTAACACGGCAACAGCTGTTCCATGTCCAACACAAATATTCTGTGTTGCTGTTTGCTGATAATTTAATATTAACCACATAAACAAAGCAAAACATCTGCTGTTCAAATATGAATTTGAATGAATTGTTCAAACTGAGGCCAAAAACATGCAAATGATACAAGTCATGTAAGCTCCATTTTACATGTTTTAGGTACAGTTGGATGGTTAAACCCTGTTGAAAAATCCAGCATAAACCAGCATGAATTCCATGCTGAAAAAAATGAAGTTGTTTTAGTAATGATTATATTATTAATCAATGTTATCTGAACTGAAGTTTTAAATAAAAAGTAAAAATTCAAACCAGTGAAACATTTCAAAAGATTTATGTTCTGTTTCAAAAGATCTGTGCACAAACCAGTTTAAAAGAGCTTGTGTACATTGCAAAACTAAAACATTCAGAGATATGTTTTATGTTTGTGATCCAAATAACAGCATAATCATAAACAGCTTGTTCAATACCAGAGGGGTTATGAGACGTGCTATTGCTAATAAAGAGCTCTTGATAATGAAAATAGTTGTTTTTAAAGACTTTAATGCTAATCTGAGAACTCGTGTTGTCAAAATCCAACTGTCAGTCACTGATTCCAAAACGTGTACATAGTAAAAGGTATATGTCACTGCAGTCAGGAGCATGAAATATTGTAGATAATAGTGATAGCATACACTTTCAACAATCGCTAAAGTAGAATTAATTCACCCAAAGTCAAGAGCAAAGTTCCCAAATAACTATAATGGTGACATCAAACAGACCATACAAAAGAAATAAAGCCAAAATTGTTTATAATAATTGAATATTGTGATGATGTTTTTGGAGTTGTTTAAGCATGCTCTGGTGAGATATCATTGATTTCATTTACAGTTTATTTCATCTAAGGCTGTGTGACTGTGAGTCAGTTGTACTTGTGCTGTCTGCTTGTCTCTTCTCTTTTTTCTGTTCTTGTTGTTCCTCTTATCTTCAGTCATTATGCTTGTTAACTGCAAGTGTCATCATCACTAATGGTCCATCATCACTTGTAGACTGAATCTACTTTATTTCACTAACTGCAACCCAATAACTTATTAAAATTAATTGGATAATTGGTCTTTATTTAATTATGAACACACTAAGAAACATGATATGTAACGTGTACATGAGATTTGTTGTGGTTTAGCTGGGATCACTCAAAAGATCCACCAGCACACCAGCATTCCAAGCTGGTTCCAGCGTGCAAAACATACCTTATGCTGGTGACCAGCAATGCTGGATTTTTCAGCAGGGAAGATGAACGGCAGCGATTTTGTTCTTGCGCTAACATGTCACCAGCTGTTCCCTGTCCAACACAACTATTCTGTGTTGCTGTTTGCCAATAATTTAATAAAACATCTGCTGTTTGAATTTGAACTTGAATGAAGTGTTCAGACTAAGCTTAAAACCAGGAACATGCAAACGATTCTGTGCAAACTTAGTTTCACAAATGCAATCCATTAGCAGATACTAAATTAACCAGTCCTCTTTTACAGTCAATGTTCTATTTTAGGTTGAATATTGCAATGGTGGCGCAACTGTTTGTAGAGAATCTGGGTAAAACAGAAACAGTATCAACCTATAGGTCTGTCAAAGCGAGATGCCCAATTTTACTCCGACCAGATCTCTGTTTTCCACGGCTCTGCACGGGCCATTTTATATTGCAATTATTCAGAATTACGGAGAGGAGCTCTAGGTGCAAACTGGGCACAGATCACTAGAGCTGAGCGGCATCCATTTTGCTCTTGCTCTAAAGCCCGGGATACACTGCACGATTTTAGCAATCCTATAAGATCATTACTTTATCACACTGTGCAACATGGATCGTTTAAACTTGGGTACGACAAGCATGTAGACTGTACGATGATGACACCTATTGAATCGTAGGCTGCGACACACGTTAACGCAACGTCATAAGCATGCGCTAGTGGTAAACAAATACCGGTACATCAAGATGGATCGCGCTTTGGCAGTTGTGCTTTTCATGTGCGCTGAAACAAAGAAGAGGCGCCGGCGGAAGAGGGCAATATGGACCCGCTCATGGCTCGGGAAAAGAGGACAACTTGGGATGCCAGTTTTGCACAGGGAGCTTGGCAGCTGCAGTTCCTCCGCTATCTCCTTCCATGCAATGTCCTTTTTGGTGCGGTCATGATAGCAGCTAGAGGACACATCGTACAAACATGCCCTCTGCTGCCACAACTCAACAAGAATTTGTTCTTTATGGGTATCCCACATACCAGTATACCTTCTACTTTTTTTTGCCTCCATGGCATTGAAATTGTAGCGCCGCAGGTCACGTGGATCAATACGTCATTTCATGTTGCAATTTCATTGGCTGCTGAGTAGACGCAGGTCGTTGCAGCAAACACTGTGCGTTGATCATGCTGAATTTCTGACACTGTCAGAAAACTATCGTAGGCTATCTTTGGTCGC